GGAAATCTCATGAACAAAACCCCAAACTTCCCAAACAGATAAATTAAGAAGTGATCATTCAAATGACTGATGGAGGAAGGGATGCTTCCTTTATATAATGAAAAACATCCCCAAGGCAAGATTGTAAAATTGAGTGACAGAAACCAGATTTATAAAGCACTTTGGGTCAAATCAGGTGCACTTGTACTACTACAGTAAGATCCCAGAAGCACAGAATTTCAGAGCTAGACGGACCTTGGACATGCTATGGCCCAACCTCTCATACAAATTCGATCCTCTCAGGGCAGCTAGGTGGCGCAATGGATAGAGCATCAGTCCTGCCTTCAGGAGGACCTGAGTTCAAATACAGCCTCAGACACTTAACATATACTAGTTGTGTGACCCTGGGCAAGTCACTTAACCCCACTGCCTAGCCAAAAAAAAAAGATTGATCCTTTCTTCAAAATTTCCAATGAATGATACTGCTGCCTTCATTTGAAACCCTTTGGGGAAAGGGAGTCCACACTCTCCAGGGGCAATCTTTTCTACTTTAAAAGAACTCCAAGTGTTAGGGCATGAGATTGTCATATTTATGCCTGGAAAGGATCTTAGAAATCAGTCAGTCTCCCCATTTTACAGCTGGGGAAAGTGAAGCCCAGAGAAAGGAAGGGACTTGGCCACAGAAGGAGATAAAAAAGTAGGAGAGACCTTAGCGATCCTCCAGTGAAATCTCTCATTGTACTGATGAGGCAACTGAGGCAGTGAGAGGGAAAGGGACTTAGTTTTGGGGTTTTTTGGGTTTTTTAGTAAGCAGAACAGTGACTCTCAAACTATGGATATACTCAGTGTAGTGGACATGGGATCCTTTTTCTCCCCTTTCTAGACCTCATTTCCTAAGCAGCACATCCTTTCTACACCCGTGTTTTCTCCTGAATGGCCAGACCTCGGACTGCGACACTGCTGCACTCCACAAGCAGAGGTCACAGCTGGGCCAGAACCTGTAGGGCAGCAGCTTCTGTGTGTGCTGCTAAGCTACACTGCCCTGGTGGTGAGCTCTTGAGTAATCCTGACTTCAAGGCTCATGAACTTCCTTTGCTTCGTCCTACATCTTGGGAAGCCAATGCTAGAGTGAGCTGAAAACACGGAAGCTCATGCTCTCCATGGCTGGTTCCATTCCTTGAGTAACTCACCAATGACACACCAAAAACCAAGGACTGGACAAAGAGCGGAAGTGCCGGGGTGACTAACCTGCCTCTAGCTTGGTCACAGAGCAAGAGCTTGGGCTGGCCTTACAGGGAGGCCAAGTAGTAGTCACTTGATGTGGAAGGAATGGCTAGGGGATGCCAGGTGGGCTTATAGACTCAAAAATAATTCACCTACAAATATGTTTTAATGTTTGGAATACTATTACAAACCCTTTACAACGCTTTCATGACCCCAAAGACAACTTTTGGGTCCCCTGTAAAATATGCATATCCCTGGGAAATGGGGATGCCTTTATCAGCTCCCCCATTCCTGGGGACCTTGACCTAGAATGGGAAGGGACCCCTGGAGAAAGGAAAGAAGGTAGCCAGCAGAAGGAAAGGCACGAGCAAAGAGTTGCACAGAGTCTTCCTTCAGTGGTCTGCTTGGTCCTAGAGAGGAGTAGCCAGGGCTCCCACCAAACATCTCCCTCCCACTGACACCTGAGAACCCCTGCTTGGAAAAGTGGAGCTGCTTTCCAGTACCCATTTGAAATGATCATCACACATGCCCAAGGACACACCATGGAGACGCCAGTGAGATGAAGGTAGGGGAGACAGACTGGGCAAATCCCCTACTTGACCATCCCCAGCTGGGCTCCTTTGCCTTTGTGATCAAATAGACATTCCTCTCTTTAGCTTTTATAACCCCACTCAACTATCTATTAGGGCTCATTGGACGTCCCTCCCCCTGCCACCCTGTGCAATCCAGCCAAATGGACTTTCTCTCTGATCTTCTTGCTCACAACATTCTATCTCCATCTCATCATACCTTTGCACATCTTTAATATACTCTCTTCCTTTAGGATACAGCTCAGGCATCATCTTATGCATGAAGTCTTTCCTGATTCCTCTCCTCCCCAACTGCTACTGCCTTCCCAAAATACCTTGGATTTAACTATTTGGTACATGTGTGTTTGTGCACGGATGCGTGTGTGTTTATATTTACAATAAATATATTTTTAGATGGACGTGTCTCCTTCACAAGAATGCAAGTTCCTTGACAATATGGGCTGGTTTATTCTTTGAATTTGTATTCCCACTGCCTGGCAAAATGTCTGGTACACAGTCGGTCCTTAATAAATACTTAATGGTTTATTTTTTTTATTGTTTTGCATCGTAATGAGCTGTCATATTCCTCTACTATACTCCAAGATCCATGAGGACAGGAGCTATGTTTTATATAAACTTTGTATCTGCCCTAGTATCTAGCACAGTGTTCTGTATAGAATAGACCCTTAATCAATGCTTGTTGAATGAATGAATGAATGAATGAATGACCTTGGATCTAACATTGCTCCTTTCATCTCTGAATGACCTTTGGTGAGAAGTACATTTTTGAAAGACAGTGAGAGGGGCCTGGAAGTTCAGAGATGGAGAGATTAGTACTGCAGAAGTAGCTAAGGAAGACCCCACAGAGGGGCCAGTAGAGGAGTGAGCTCATGCTCACATAGAAACTAGTGCCACTGATTTGGACATAAGGAGCTTTTCGAGTCGTGTATAGACATCATTTTGAAATACAAATAATTACATTTTTATTTACTTTGTTAAATAATTCCCAATTACATTTTAATCTGGTCCAGGAATGTTGTGGGCCACCTGTGGCTGGCCAGCCTCTGCTGTTAAGGACATTCCTGCTCAAGCCTGGCTGCCCACTCCCACTTGGAGATCTGGGGATTATTATTTCTCCACTCTCTACTCACTGGTGGCAACTGGGGGTCTCCAGAGGGTTCAGTTTCTCTGGGAGGAATCAGTCTAAATCTGGAAATAAATTTTGACCCCTTGTGCTCCGATCTGTGATCTGTGAAGGCAGAAGGCAATTCAGTCCTCTAGCATTTACAAAGCACCTCCCACTCAATCACCCTGGGATGTAGCGATCGCTGTCCTCTTTGGCAGATAAGGAAACTGAGGCTCAGAGAGGTGAATGGGTGTGTCCATAGGGACATAGCCATCAAGTATCCCAGCTAGAATTCACCCTAGTCTTTCTTCCTTTAAGCCTGTTGCTGCTCTGCTCTTTCCACTATGGCATCCTGCCTCATGTGACTGAATCAATGCCTGGGCAACTAACCTCATGTGGCATCAGTTCCTATATAAGGCAATCCCCAGAGGAAAGGTCAATTGATTCACAGATGTGTAAATACAGGCAACTCTCCATTAAGCACGTGGTGATTTGTCCATGGCAAATGTTACTTTCAATTTGCCAGGACATTCTCAGTGCCTCTTTTACATTCGATCTTTCCCCGAATGTACATTCAGTTGGCAGACCAGGAGGAACAGAAAGAGAAAGATCAGTAAGCCAAATGACTTGTTGATTTCTCTAGGAAAGTGGGAGCTAAGGAGAGAAAAGTAAGCCTCGGAGAGAAGGCAGCCCTACACACTTGCTGTTCATCAGGCTGAGACTCCCCCATCCCCAGCATAGCAGAGTGGTGGATGGAGAAAGCTTTCCATGGGCTGGAGGCTAGAAAATGGAAGTTTAATGGGGTGTCAATTTGACTTTGAAAGACAAGTGACAGCCTCTCTGAACCTCAGTTTTCTCCCCTACTAAATGGGGTTAATAGTAGTCATAGGACCTCCCTCACAGGCTCAAATGAGATCATTATCCTCATCAACACACCTTTGTTATGCACCTACTGTGTGCCAGGCCCTGTTCTGGCAGCTGGGGGGTACAGATATAAGAATGAAACAATCTCTACTCTCAGAAGTTTACATTCTAATGGGAGGGAGGGGGGACAAACGGCAAGTACAATATAAAGAGGCTGAATACCAGGTAGTTTGGGAGGGAGGGCAGCAGCAGTCTTGAGCATTGGCCAACGCTTAGTGCAGAAGGAAGACGGGCTGCTCTGAGGTAGGGATGAGTAGGAGTGCATTTCAGCCTTTCAGTATGGCCTGTGCAAAGGTATGGAGGTGGGAAATTGAGTGGCACATGTGAAAGACAGAGAGGAAGCTGGTTTGAGTGAACTGCAGAGTGTGGGTGAGCAATGACCAATAAAACTCATTGGGCCTGGGTTGGCATGAGCTTAACCGGGATGTCTATATTTTGGTATAAAGACAATAGGAAGCTGCTGGAGTCTCTTTTTTATTTGTATTTAGACAAAGGTTTTTGCTATCAGCTTTGCCATCCCACCAATATACTGAGTCTGGGGTGGGGAGTGGGGAGGCTCAACTTTATAATCAGGCACACACCCAACTCCCAGCCCTGCAAGGTCCCTTCAGGTGTAGATCTCGGCTGGTTTCTGGGGTTGGCGCTTTTCTAGAGCCCAAAGCCAACACTTCTCTCTACCATAAAGGGTCACCCTCCCCCTGTCCGTGGGTAACTACCCCTCAGCATACACTTGTCTTCAATGAGTTCTCTGCTACTGCAGTATATGCTTCCACTTGCTGTCAGACTCTCACTCCCTAACCCCTTGCTGGGTGACGTGGTATGGCCAGCCCCTCGTATGGCACCTGATGCAGAGGAGGTACCAAGTGATTGACTGGTTGACTGTCAAGGCATGAGTCATTTTATCTCCATGAACTTTGATTTCTTCATCTGGGAGGGGGAGCAGGTTGGAGGAGAAGGGCTCAAAGACCCCTTCCAGATCCAACAGGAGGTGACTCAAGCAGAGGAGAAGGAAAAGGGAGAAGCTGAGAAGAGGAAGAGGATGGAGGAACAGAGAGTTCATTAGTGCCTTGGAAGTCCCTCCACTTCTCAGGACATCATATGTACCCATGTCCCCACATTTCCAAATACATTCTGAGAACAAACAAGACTGATCTGGGTCTTTTCCACTACCTACTCACCACCATTTAGGAAGCTCTTGTTCTAGATGGAGCACATGTTTGTGCACTATATTTGCCTGGTCAATGCTACTGCTGCTTTCTGTGAATATGAAGAAAAGAAATGTATTCCATGTTCAGTGAGAGGTAATGATGTCACAATGATGTAGGGCTTGGAAGGTAGCATGATGGAGTGATCAGGAGTCTAGGTTCAAGCCCTGCCTTGGACTACCTGTGTGATTCGGTGACCTCTCTGTACCTCATTTTCCTGATCTGCGTAATAGGGGACGGACTTAATGATCTCCAAGGTCCCTTCTAGCTCTAAATTAATGATCCTATATTTCCCTTTCTGAATCCTTATAGGCCAATGAGACCTCCAGAGGAGGAAAGGCAGGATGGAAAGGGCCTTAGGATGAAGCCACATGGGAGATTCATTGAAGGAACTGGAGATGTTTCTCCTGGAGGAGCAAAGACTCAAGGACCATAGGACAACCATCTTTCAGTTTCTGGTCCACATCCCGCGAGAAAGGGATTCAATTTGTCTTGCCTGGTCCCAGAGGGCAGAACATGAAACGTTGGGTAGAAGTCGTGCCAAGACAGATTTCTGCTCAGTGAAGGGAAATCGTTTTCAAAATAGCTCTCTTCAAGTGGGATGGCTGGTCTCTGGAGGTGGAGAGCTTCCTTGGCCCCTCAGAGGGTCTTCCAGAAGAAGTTTGGCAGGGATGTTGAAGAAGGCATCCTTCATCAGATAAGGGTTGGTCTAGCTGACCTCAGAAGTCTCTCTCAACCACGAGCTTTGGGGACAAATCAATCAATCAGCAAACATTTGTTGAAAGCCTACTTTGTGCCAAGCACCTCCTAGGGTACTGGGGTTATAAAGACAAAGAAAGTAAAATAGTGTGAGCCCCCAGAGAAAGAAGTGTGTGTGTGTGTAAAACGTATGTATATATGTATAAAGCCAACTACAAGAGACACACAGTATATAAAGTAGACACGGTAACTTTGGATGAGAAGGTACTAACAACTGAGGGAACTAAGGAGAGACACCCAGTTCTTTTAAAATGCATTTTATTGTTAATTTATGGAATAAAACAAGCATTTCCATAACAATATAATAAAGCATAAGTCTATTGTGTACAACTTGTTTTTCTTTTTAAACATATAATAAAATTACAATGTAAACTTCTTTTTTTCCCCTTTTTTCTTACCCCCTCCTGCCCTAGAGATGGCTACCATTAGAAACAAATAGGTATATGTATATACATGTAAAATCATTCCTCTTTGGGAGTTCAAGTTGTCAGACAGGGGCCAAGCTTCTGTCACTGAGAGGAGCAAAACAACTGTTCTTTTCCAGTCTTACTGAAGGGAACCATTATTTGGGATGAGGGTGATTTCAATCTAGGATGGTTTTGAGGCACAAGATAATTTCACTGGAGAGCACCAGATAAGACTCCCTGCGGGGCTGGGCACTGTGGTTTGCTCTTGGCCTTCCTCTGGTTTGACTCCACACTGGTCAGTTCTGTGTCAGGGAGGGGCAACGATTTTTCTAATTATATCTTACTGATGATACACATGTTAGTCATCTCCTCTCTGTCTCTTTAGAAAGAGTAAAACAACTCTGTGGCTTGGAGGCTCTGGGGAGCTTGGGTGGGTCTTTGGATAGATACACATTCATTGGACCCAGTCACCATGGGATGATAACAGTAGCTGAATCCAGGAACTGAATGAGGGTTATTTAAAATAAATAAAAGTGTGATCCCTGCTCTTTTTTCTATCACTCTTGTTTTCCAGGAGCCCCTGCTTTCCCACCTCCTTTGGAACTCCTCTTTATGACATGTTGCTTCCCTTGTAGAGGATAAGCAACTTGAAGGCTAGGCTGTTTTACTTTTTGTCTTTGTATTTCTGGTGCATAGCACAATTAAATTAAAAACCAATCAACAAGCATTTATAAAGCACTCCTTATGTGCTGAGCACTGGGGATACCAATACAAAAATGAGACAATCCCTCCCTTCAAGGAGCTTACATTCTACTAGTGACATACAACATATTCACAAATAAATGAATACAGGCTACATAATACTCCCCCTCCCCCTAACCCCCAAAAACACAGTGATGGATCAGAGGGCATTAAATCCTAGAGAAATTAGGAAAGCTCACTTGAAAGAGGTGGGATCATAGGCCCAGAGCTGAAAGGGACCTTAGAGGACATCCAGAACAACTTCCTCAGTTTCCCGATGAAGAAACTGAGGCACAGACTTGCCCACTGTGTCAGAGATGTGGCCTGAACTCAGGTAGGCCCTGAGATGAGCCTTGAGGGGAGACGAACTCCAGATTAGCAGAACAAAAGGAGATGTGGCCACGTCTGACCCACATGCCTCCTTCCATATTCTCTCTCTGCTCATGTTGGACCGTCAGAAGTCCCAATTGGTCACTCTGATCTTTCAGTGTTGTTTCATTCTGCATTCTTGTGGTCACTATATAACGATTTTCTCGGTTCTCACTTTGCATTAGTTCACACCAGTCTTCATGAATTTCTCTGAATTCCTCACGGTCATGGTTTCTTACGATGCAGTAATGATAGTATTCCATTACGTTCCAAGACACATTTTATCTAACCAGTCCCCAAATAATGGGTATTTATTTTGGCCCTGGCTCTCTGCTACCACAGAAGATGTCACTTTAAACATTTTGGTATAGGTGGGACCTTTCCCTCTGTCACTGACCATCTTGGGGTGGGTGCCCAGACCTCATCAGAATCCTAACGCTAAAGATCAATTTCCCAAAAGGCTTTCCTTCTAAAAATGGCATTGTGGCCCCTCTGGGGGTGGGAGAGGGGAGAGTCAGCTTTAGAAACTGTGTTCACTTTGGAGGGAGAGCTATGTGTCTAAATGTCCCCTGCACATACACACCCAGATAATATTTTTCCAGTGACCTAAGGGGGTAAGAAAGTCTAATTTAATGTGAGAGAGAAGTGGGTTAATACATGAAAATGCATATTTTTTTGAAATAGGGAATATTTGCATTACTAAAGAATTCTACTGGGAGGCGGAATTAAGCATTACTTTAATCATCAGCTACTCTAATGCATCTAAAACGTGGGTTTTCATATAACTGTTCCAAACCACCCCCATAAGCTCAGAGGCTTTCACTAGAAGGGAGCGTCAAGGTCATCCGAGGTCCCAATGGGAAGGACAATGAATATGGAGTCCAGGCTCCAGGCTTCACCACTTGTGTGCCTTTGGTCCACTCAACCAACTCTGGGCCTCAGTTTCCTCCCGAAGAAAGAAGATGACATTTAACATCCCTTTCACCTCGGAACTTACAATCTAGCACAATTCCCACATTTCATATCTGAGGAAACCAAGTTTCAGAAAGGTTGAGGGTTTTGCCTGAAGTCATGCAGCCAGCAAGCAGCTGAGTCAGGATTTGAACCCAGGTCAACTGATCCCAGTTTCAGTGTTCTTCCCCCAGTGGGTGCTGGCCTTTTTACTCTGTTGGTCCAGACCTGTGAGGAAACTCCCTTTACCCAGACAGATTCACACTACCCTAGAATTTATAGAGGCAGCAAATTGTCTGGGTGACTTGTAGGTTAAGTGAATGATATGTCCACGGTTCCCAAGTCAGTAAATGTCCAAAACAGGGCTCCAATACAGGTCTTCCAGACCCCAGGGCTAGCTGTCTATCCATCAGCCACGATCGCCTCTCCTTTTCTCCCTTCCTCAGAAGGGGGTCGGCTGAAGGCAGGTCCACCCGTCTCTCTAGAATCCTTCATTCCCTTCAAGCTGGAGCATTTACACTCGGAAATCAACCAACAAATGGTACAAATCAGGCTGGTTTATTGTTTCGTGGCTTGTCTAGTTTTAAGAAGGTGACAGAGAATATGTTAATGACAATGATGCAATCAGATTAAACTTGACTGTTGGTGAGAAATAAGGACTTCACTAGAGTACTTCAGGTGTCCACTGGGGACAGAGATCACAAACCTTTATGTCCCAGGAGATGCTCTTTGCTATCATCAAGGATTTCGTCCCAAGCGCTTAATCTTTACCTTATTGAGGCAGCTAGGTGGGGCCTCAAGTCAGGAAGACCAGAGTTCAAATTCAGCCTCAGACACTTATGATCTATGAGACCGTGGGCAAATCATGTAGTCTGCCTGCCTCAGTTTTCCCATCTGTAAAGGGAGGATAACAATACCACCTACCTCCCAGGGCTGTTTTGATGATCAAATGAAATCATATTTTAGAAGCACGATGTGAAATATGTCTTTGGATTCACACACAACAATCCTGGGTTATTATTTGTGTCTGACTCTTCATGACCTTATTTGGGATCACTATTTGCCATTTCCTTCTCCAGCTCATTTTACAGCTGAGGAAACTGAGGTAGAGAGGGTGAAGTGACTTGCCCAAGGACACTGAGCTAGTAAGTGTTCAAGGCTGGATTTGAACTCAGCTCTTCCCAACTCCAGACCCATGCTCCATCCTTAGCACCACCTAGCTATGCTTTTATTATCCCTATTAAGAAATAATAGATTCAGAAATAGAAGGGACCTTGGAGGCTGACTTGCACATCTTAGAAATGAAAAAAAAATTATGGCAAACTAAGGCCCACAAAGGTCAAGTGTCCTTCCCAAGGTCACACAGTTAATAAGTGTCTGAAGCAGAATTTGGTCCTGGAGATCGGAGAGTGACGCTAACTCTAAGCCCACCATTCTGGGAATGGACACGGGAGATGTCATGGAGGTAGAGCAGACAATGCTTAGCAACTGACTGTATTTGAGGGGGTGAGAGGCAATAAGGATGACTTGGAGTTTGTAAACATGGGGGACTCAATAGAAATGGAGAAGATAGGGAGGGTGACGGGTTTGGGGAAAATAGAATGTGCTCCACTTTGGATATGCTGAGCTTCAGTTGTCTGGGTGATGTCCAGGGCTGGGACTCAGGGCAAAGATCCGGGTGGGATCTCCAGCTGCATTGAGATGATCATGAAACCCACAGGGGCTTGGTGAGATTACAGAGAGCAGAGAGAGGGTGAGAGAAGAGGGCCTTGGACGGCGTCTTATCTGTCCTGCCTCGGCTAATATAGCCCGGCCAAGCTGATGACGACTTATATCTGTCATGCCTCCCCATCCCA